AGTCTACAAATAGGGATTTCAGTGGATTAAATTTCATTATATTCTCATGAAATCGCTCAGCTTTGTACATGACTACATAGCAACTGTATAAACTGAAAAGTCATTTAAAAACCAGGTGAAAAGTGAGCACATCACCCATTATGTATGTTGTACCATTTCATCAAATAGTATCAAAATCAATTGTCTCACTCTACTTAAATAATCCAAAGAGTTTCAGTCCGAGGCCTTGCCTTGTAGTGGCCAATATAATCCACTCTCTTCCTAGCACTCATATAAAAAACAAGCATGAGAAAGCACTTTAAGGCAAATTGGAGTGTGATGTGAAAGACTGCACACCAAGAATTTACAGCACATTACCATTATGACTAGTGAGTAGACATTCAATGAGAACACACCAGAAAAAACTAAGTGACAAGGCTGGCCTAGGAATGAACTCCTGGGAAAGGTTGAAGGAACCAAGTCTCAACTTAAATTCTATGGAGGTCCACCTTCTCTTTCATCAAAGGCTGGAATCAGTGGGACTGCCACCAATTAGGGAAACACCCTTTTGGCATCCTCTACCTTGAGAATGCTGCTTCCATGCTATTACTTAGTGTAAGTATCCACCAAGGCACACATTTCTGTATTCCCCCAAGACTTCTCCACTCAAAAAAACAAGAAGACCAAAGATGGCGGTGAAATTGCAGAGGTAGAGGGCACAACATGTGCATGTGTAACAGGGCGGAAGCATCACAGTTACCTCAAGTTTCACAAGGGCTTTTGACTAAGAAATAAGCCATCCTTGGTCATCATCCCACAATATTTGGTTAACAAGCATGGGTTGAGGTAACGTTTTTCCATGGATCTCAGGCCTCAATTTTACATTGGGTGGAAAATAAAAATGACTCTCATCTTCCGAGGATTAAAAGTAAGTTAACCAATGACAGGGACAAATCAAAAGATATGAAGGACAAGTAGTCAGTAAAAGGTAGACACTTTGCCTCTGCCACTTTTACAATCAGGAATGGACAAGGACCTGAGGGTAATATACTTGGACTGCATGAGAGCTAGGTACACAGGGGACACCTTAAGTAGCTTAACCCAGAAACTACATATGCCTCAGGATATGTAGTTTTTTAAAATGTTTATGACATTTTAGAGAGGTACATGGAGAACTTGATAGTTGCCAGTATTCTAAGGGAAATTCTCTAGGAAAAGGGAAACGTTAGGTTTCTTTTCTCAAAATGGAAAATGGCCCTACATCTACTCGCCATCAAATTGGTACTGACTGATTAAATCTATGGTTTTCAAATGGTGGCAATGCTCACCAGGGATTAGGGAGGGAGGGACCCAATCTTAGGGCGGTGGGGAGTATTTTGGTAGGGAGGAGCATAACTCTAACCCTTCTGTGGGAGAGGCATTAAAGATATACAATGTAACCAATATGTAAAAAAAAAATCAAAACAAAACTTTTTACCAGGTGGTGGGAAGGCAGTAGGGAGAGGAGGAAAGGGGTGTATGCTTCTATAACGTGCGGGGGATTGGACACATTCGGGGGAGGGAGGGGGGGCAGGGACAATATTTGTAACCCTAACAATATTTGTACCTCCATAATATGATGAAATAAATAAAAATAAAAAAAAAAACTACATATGCCTTTGTCATTTTTACAATCTGGAATGGACAAGGACCTGACAGTAACACATTTGGACTGCATGAGTGCTAGGTACACGGGGGACACCTTAAGTAGCTGAACCCAGAAACTCATCAGGGACAGTCTGGAAAATAGGCAAATGCACAGCACAGGCAGCACCCAAGGCTCCCTATAGTTACATGAGAAAACCCTGAAATACAAAGGAGATGAGAGAATACAGTGCGCCAGGAAGGATACAGAAGTACCAACAAAAGCAATAGCACACCCTGCCCATAATTCCCTCCCACTGTTGCACTATGCAGCAATATAAGAGAGTGAAGCCCCTCATACGTCTGTTGCCATTTTTCACACATCTAGGGCAGTGCACAGAGGAGGTGACACTGCCAAGGTGTCAACAACACCCAAACACACAATGACTGGGAAAGGGAAAATAAGGACTTGCCCCCATTATAAATGTATCAACTTCCTAAGGCCAATAATTTCCCCTATCACCTCCATGAAGGTACATTGTTGTCTTTGGTTCCCCAGCTATGCCGAACCACACGTGCTGTAAGGGAGGGGAAAGGGCACAGGAGGTAGGTGCCTCCTTGAACGCTATGGACCATCACAATATTCTCCCACACTCCTATGTCCTCCAAACTCTCTATATTCACCTCATGCCAAGGAGACTCCTGACATTCCTTCTAGGACCCTGGAATACCCTGAAATAGGGAGAGCACGGAGCCTTCCCTTCCTCATATTGTACGTCCCTCCTGTCCTTTTATAGTGTCAGTGGCTGTAGTACTACACAAGATACATGAATCCCTCACTGAGCTGTCTAGGACAGTCTTGAGGGTTCAGGCAACTTCTCGTGCCTATGTAAACACCCCTCTGAAAAGAGCAAAGTGACTGATGGGTTAGACCACAAAGTGGTGACAGTTTACATCAGAAGACTTGGAAACGTGGCAACTTCAGCTGACAGGGATGTGCCCCTTTCAGCATGACCAATAAGACAGGTTAAGCAACAATTCTGGACACCTAACATAACTCAGAAGGTTTCTGGACACCAGGCTCAAGGGGAGACATGCCGGAGTATCCCAACGTCACCAGGTTCATATACTGGTCAGTGGCGGAACCCATGTGAATTTTCCTTCCCACCAACATGCAGAGTATGATCAACGGAAGAGTGTAGGAAGCTAATAGAGAAATGCTTGGCCAAGACGCCAACTTCATTCCCACTCTCTGAAACAGGAGTGCTCACCATCCTTAAGCCACCCTTGCTTTGCATAGTGCAACCCCTTCTGTTCAGCACATTTGCGTAGGAGGACACAGCCTGACCACTGGCCATCACCTGTGTCTCCACTGGATTCAAAGTTCTACTTGCTACAGATACTGCTGGTGAAGCTGTCTCATTCCTGTAGGAATTTACACAAGGCTTTGGAGGCACTGAAGTGGGAAGGAGGAAGGAGAAGTCAAGTAAATTCCGAGGAACTACCAGCAAAAGCAGTTCACTTTCATAAGTGTCTGCTAATGAACACAGCCCAGTATTAGCAAGAAAGACTCAGTGGCAAGGTCCACTTTCATCGGTCTCTGCTGGTGAACACAGCTCACTATCAGCATGAAAGACTCAGTGGTGAGACCATCCAAGGGAGAAATGTACCCCAGAAACAACCACAGGTCCCTCTCAGAAGACTCCCACAGATTAATCTATGATGATACCATATAATAACACGTTTCTCCAAGCCCTTTGACATAGGCTAAGGAAGTGCACCTAATGAGCCAGAAATTGCTAAGCACTCACTAACAGGGAAGTTCAGAATTCTCATTCATAATGGACAGCAAAGTTCTGTACCCTTACTAAAGTCTCATCTTTACCCAAGAGCCAGACTTTCCAAAGTCACACTCAACAATAACCTCTGGTGCAGTGTTAGGCATGGGGAAGGGCCCTGAGACACTCCCTGGAAAACACAAAGCCTCTGAGAAAACCCCCGCCAGAGTCCCTCAGCCTCCACCTCTCCCAGCAGCTCTGCCCAGTGCCACTGTTCCCAGCCCTTTCCCACCTAGAGTCAATAGGCCCCCGATGGAGCAACCATATGCAATGTGTCATTACATCTTTCCTGATCACAGAAGTCTCTACTCCTGTCTCACCCTCGAACCCCTATAATTCTTCCCATCAAAGAACAGATCATCACAGTGGCTTGGGATCCAACCATGAAATCTATTAGTTGAAGGTGTATTGCCCTGGCTTTTGAGGACCATTGTCATCAGCACATATTTCTACTGCTACAAAAACACCCAATGTGACCTCTGGATATCCACATGGACCAGAATGGACAGGAGACGGAGATTGGGGTAATTATTACTTTTTTAAGCACCAAAAACATTCTTAAAAGTTCTCACAGCTTGTGATTAACACCATGGGATTCAGAACCATCTGAAGCTGGATCTTATTCCCCCTCCTAAAGAATCCAGCCTTTGTTACCATGGCAAGGTTCTGTAATCATTAATGTAATCTGTAAAATGGGAATAACAGTACATTTAACTCATGGTTTTTAGAGGATGAGGTGAGAACCCAATAAACTGAGCACAGTTTTGTTTCTAGTGACCTTTGAATCAGTGATAGCCCTGGCTTATTTCTTTTGGCATCATCACCACTACCATCAACATCATTGTCACAACTATTACCATCATTTCCAGTAGCCCAAGGTGCTTCTCAAAATCACCAATGCTGTCCCAGTACATGACTAGACATGCCAAACTGGAAACCAGACTTATAAGAAACACAATCATTTGCATTGTTCTCCATGCCTAATGCCTACACCTGTGCCTGTGCCTTATGTTCAAGCATAGACACTTAAGCACTTGGAAGACAAGAGTTGGTATTTAAGGTGGGATATCCAGGCCTTTAATTCTCAGGGATAACACTGTGCCTGTAAGGTAACAAACAGTATCAAAGGCTTTTTTCAAATTTCTCGGTGCGAAACCAGAAATTTACTTCATAAACAGTCCTGACAAGCGTCAGAACCTACAAAACAGGCACTGTCAGGGAAAAGCCTCACTGCAAATCATACAAAATGGTCACAGTGAGTGTAAGTCAACAAATAGGGATTTCAGTGGATTAAATTTCATTATATTCTCCTGAAATCGCTCATCTTTGTACATGACCACATAGCTGTATAATCTGAAAAGTGATTTCACAACCAGATGAAAAGTGAGCACATCAGCCCTTATGTATGTTGTATCCTTTCATAAAATAGTAGCAAAATCAACTCTCTCCCTCTACTTAAATAATCTACAGAGTTTCAGTCAAAGGCCTTGCCTTGTAGTGGCCAAAATAATCCACTCTCCTCCTAGCAGTCATATAAGAAACAGGCATGAGAAAGCACTCTGAGTCAAATTGGAGTGTGATATGAAATACTGCACACCAAGAATTTACAGAACATTACCACTAGTGAGTAGATACTCAATGAATACATACCAGAAAAAACTAAGTGACAAGGCTGTCCTAGGAATGAACTCCTGGGAAAGGTCCAGGGAACCAGGTCTCAACTTAAATTCTGAGGAGGTCCACCTTCTCTTTCATCGAGGACTTGGAACCGTGGGACTTCCAGCAATTAGGGAGACACCCTTTTGGCATCCTCTACCTTGAGTATGCTGCTTCCATGCTATTACTTAGTGTACCTATGCCCCAAGGCACGCATTTCAGTCTTCCCCGAAGTCTTCCCCACTCACAAAAAACAAGAAGACCAAAGATGGCGGTGACATTGCAGAGGCAGACGGCACAACATGTTCAAGTGTAACAGGGAGGAAGCATCACAGTTACCTCAAGTTTCACAAGGGCTTTTGACTAAGAAATAAGCCATCCTTACATGGGTTGGGGTAAAGTTTTTCCATGGATTTCAGGCCTCAATTTTACATTGGGAGGAAAATAAAAATGACTCTCATCGTCCAAGGATTAAAAGTAAGTTAACCAATGACAGTGACTAGTCAAAAGTTTATGAATGACAACGTACTGAGTAAAATATAGACACTTTAGGGTCTCTTCCCAAACAAATATGGAATTTGACCTAAGGTGAGCGAACTTCAGGTTGTGTGATGCCACCTTCTCCAAGAAACGTGTGCCAATAGAAAACTCCAGGACCCAAAAGGACCCATTCAGACTAAAGGTTCAAAGTCACCATAGGAACATCTTAGGATAGTGCATACTTCCAATTAGCATGTTAATTCCCTCTGTCACACTGTCCAATGTCTTCACCAGCATTTCAATGAATAAATCACCACACACAAAAGAAATGACTTTACATAGGCCAAGAAAGAGAGAGTACTGTCTGGCACTGCCAGTTAGCAGGCCCCCTCCAGACTGCACCATTGACAAATGGCAAAGGGTCCTGATGAGCACTGAGGCCTGAGGCCTGGCAGCCTCCATGCGCAGAGTCTGAGTTGGCCAGAACAGAAAGTTGCTCAGGAGACGGAAAAGCCTGAAATCCTGGGCTGCCTCTTGCTTCACAGCATGATTGATGAGGTCAGGTTTCCATAGAGATTCCGCAGACACCCCTGAGGAAGCTTGCTGGCCCTAGGAAAGAACACAAACATTTAAATGATATTTTCCCAAACTCTAAAGAGCTTGTACTGGGGTAGAGGAGCAGTGGTAGGGAGGGGGTGAAACCGAGCACCCTGATGTTCTTCTCCAACATGTGGAGTCAGGAAATGGGATACTTGTCCCTTGGGCAACTCTTTTGGACTCAGGTAGTGAAGACTGTGAATGAGACATGATGTGTGCTCCCAGTAACATCTGCAAAGCAAAGAAATGGCCAGGAAGGAAGAAAGGGTGAAGATTTGAAGGCATACTGACTTATGCATTACTTTGATTGTTACCGTCTGTCTCCAAGTCTCCTCACAAATAAAAGCCCTGCCATCCATGGTGGAGGCAGATGGACAGTCTACCATTCTCCAACAGCCCCTTGGCCCACAGGTCAAAAGCCTCCCCTTTTGCATAGATAAAGATGGCTTTCTATTACCTTCAAATCCATTTTTGAACCAGAAGTTAAAAGGCATCTGAGCAGCATCCCACATTCCCTCCATTCCTGGAGTTGACTTTTGACCATCCTCTCGAGTTCATCCTGCTATTGCCTGTTAGTGCAAAAGATTCCAAATAGGATCAAAACATCAAGACTTTGAAGATAAAATGCCAAGTTCTGTTATGGTTTTGGAAACCATAACATTCAAATAAATTCAAGCTTGCTGTAATGGGACACTGACAGTGAGCAGAGGAACACCACTAATGCCTGGAAAAAGATGTCAATATCTAGGAGAGTCTCAATCATGACGTCAATAAGCAGCACCCATGGACAGACCTTAACACCAATGGCAATTCCTTGCCTGGAGACCGAGGACATTGGCTTCAACACCTTCCTAAATGATGGTACAGGTGAGACCAGATTGGTGCTGCCCTCTACCCAACACCTGTCACCTCACACAAGAGACGGTTGTTCTTACCTGGCTGGATGCTGTGGACAGTTAGTTCCAGTTCCACACTAGTCATGGTACAGGCTCCCATGCTGACCAGTCCCAGACTTTTCCACCACAGGTCCTGAGGGAGATGGCAATTGTACAGATCTGCAAGACTAGAACCACTGGGGAGACACACATGGCAACTCATAACGTAGGTAGGGGGCTGGAGCATGTGTCCTATTATCCTTATGAACAAGAGCTGCTGAAAATACCTAGTGGGGCTGAGTACTAAATTATTCAGCCCAAGCCAGGTAGACCAAATTCACGAAAGGCAACGTAACACAGAGATTGCAGTAACTGTGCCACAACACCAGGTAAGAGTGCCTTTCAGAGGCCCCACTGCTCCGTTCAAAGGGAACCACAGGACATGGGGTAATCAGTCAATAGCAGTAGCCCATTCCACCCAATTGTTGTCCTCCCCAGGCTAGGCCTTTACCACTCATTTCTGTTTACCTTGTGGGCATATAAAAAATACATGAATCATTTTTCTTTCTATGAAAGAACACCTGTAAACGATACCAACGCTACATTTAAAGAAAAACAGTATATTAAATACACCATTGTGCTTCAGAAGCAAAACTGTCAACGTCACCTGCAACTGCCATTTACTCCCAGATTACTGAAAGCACTCAATCTGTGACTTTCTTCATTCATAAATGGGAAATTCCCCATTATGTTTAAAGGAAACTTATGCAAAAGCCTCAGGATGGAATTGGATTAAATAACATGATATTGAGCAGGCAATTCATGTGGGAAATGAAATTCTCAACAATGAGCAGAGGTGACAGGCGACCAGTACTTCCGGGCATTCACTGCCGTAAAACAAGTGGCAGCTTAGTCCATATGTGCGGTTTGATCTAGAAAATGCCACCAAACTTGCTTCATTTGGGTACATTGATGAAATAAGATAACACAAGGACTAAAATCTCAACCAATCCAGTGATATTAAAACAATTTGATGGTGAAATCAAGTCAAACTTCAGGTAGCCTGCAACGTGAGGCCGGAACTGTCGTAAAGCAAGGCGCACAAAACCCATGAAAACATTATTTTTCTTATTTGTGCATTTAAAAGAACGAAAATGTGTTTAACCATGCTTCGGATGAGGGTCAGGACCGCAGTTAATTTAATATAATGCTAAAAAACACATTTATCCAAATTAAAACCGAATCCTATAAAACAGTCGCGAAGGATGGTTAAGGGCATTCACTGTCATAAAATATCAAGCACGGGGCCCATTGATGACGTTCTGCATTTACCAATCCACCCTGGTCCACAACATTTTCTTTAAAGTACTTTTATGGATCCGCTGAGAAGGGTGCAAAAACAGAAACATAAAGTATTTTTGTAGAGAGATAACAACACTACCATATTTTTAATTATATCACGGAAGATATTACCATAGAAAACAAAAGGCAATCAATCATTCAGACATTAATTTACTCTCTGTCAACACAAAACCTTCTAAAGCCCCTTATAAAGAGCCCTGGGACCAAAAATCAATTGAATGAGACAAGAGGAGGAACAGGTAAAATTAAATGCAAAACCAGGTCCAATTTATCTGAAAAAAAAGTGGCTGATTGGCAGCCATATCACGTGATTTAAAACGTCACCTGCTAAGCCAGATGAATCACTTCACAATATGCACACTGAAAATACCCTCATTTGAGAAATATTTATGAAACAAAGCCAAAAGAAATTTAACCAAATTTAAATGACTGCAATGTCATGAAAAAAATGCAAGTCAGTATATCATAAACTAAAACAATAAATAGGATCCTTGGGGGCTTCATTCCCTTCAGGGACTTAAAGGTATAAGCTCTTGCCAACCCGAGTGCTCTTTTCCATATCCTTAAAGTGTCAAACCGCCAAGCATTTGAAGGGGTGCTTTTGGCTGAATACAGTGATATTAAATACACAAGTGCATTATACAAAAGTGTAAAACAGAGTTCAAAGACCACAGCCAGGCGATTCCCTGGGGTTACTGAACAAGCTGGAAGTCCATTGCCCCATTTCACATAGAAATATTCAGAACGCTTTTTTTTCTCTTGTGAACACAACATATGAAGGAGACGAATTCTGAACTTGAACCATAACAGACTACATTAAACATACAATCATGTTAAATGAGAGACTAAACTGGCCACAAAGACAGGTAACTGGGATCGGCTGTCATAACCCCACCTCAGGAGGTAACTTCGCCCCTTGTCACCTCTAAAGGAAAAGAAATATGATAACTGAATGGCAAAAGGTGGCAAAATAAAAACTTTAAAGATATAAGTGGTGATAATATCTACCCAACGATGGTAAAACATAAAGGCAAACTCAGGTGCCCGGCGACCAGCGGCCACCGTTCGGGGTTGGACCGACAGCGGCTCATCGATCACATCAGCGTTTCCTCATTTTTAACTTGAAAACACCACAAAACCTTAGGATTCAGAGGGAGGAGGGGTGCCCATGTCCAACATTTAAACAAACAAAATGATCGCAAACACTCATCACGTTGTTCCATCAAGCACAACACTGGGCCGGACGTGACTAGGGAGCTTCCCTGTCAACAATCCATTGGCCCATCGCACACATCCCTTACAGATGTCACAACACATCATGAACCCGATTCGATAAGGATCACAACAAAACTCAGTAATTAAGAATTAAAACCAAGTAAACTTACATTTTCTGATCCCGGAAGGCGGGTGCCGCCATCTTCCCACATATCCTCGGGAAACTGTCCACGGAAGCCCCACAGGACAATCCAGACTTTAACGGTATCTACCTGGTCACGTGGTATGGATGCCTGGACACCCAGTCTAAGGCCCCGCCTACAAACTACGTCATTGGAGGGTCTGAAGTTATTGACAAAAAACCCAACATTGAGCTCCAGGTTTACAAGGGAAAACTTAACCAATACCCAAGGGCCCAGCTAAATAACGCAGTGTGACAGAGAGAAATGGTTTTTAAGACCTTAACCACAAAAAAGTAGTATGTGCAGTAAAGGATATTTCCATTTATTTAATTTAATGATTCTACAACATGTGATACATCAAATCATCACATTTTGCCACTTAAATATATACATTTATTATATCTGAGTTTTTTTAATAAAACGGAGAGAACCATTTTCCCCTAGAGGTAACTTATCGTCTACAGTCTTGCAGCTCATTTAGAAGCTCAGAAAATGTTTATTAGTGAGATTTTCCACATATGGAGGTGGGGGATAAGACTTTGGCAAAGATCCAGAGGGGCAGGGACTGGTTCTACACTTTGTCCAGCAATCAGTGAAGGGATGAATCTGGGAACTTAAGCAGCATGGGATGTGAAATGAAGGAAGAACTAGGCCATTGGTGTGAATCCCACGCCCGGGAATTCCCAACTCATTGCTGACCTGGTGCTGAAGCTTTTCCCTCTGGCTGCACTCTGCAGCTGGAAACATGGCTGGCCTCTCCTGATGCCAGGACACTGCCCAGGTCCTGTCTCTCAGTGCACTTGTGTCTCCACAGTCTATGCTCACAGTCACTCTGCTCCCATCCATACTTAATCTCATGTCCATAGGCTGTCCTGAAAAAATTATCTATGACTTCTTATCCACCTTGCACCACAGAGAGTGGTTAAGTGTATGGGTTCCACATAGGCTGCTTGCATTCATGTCACAGCTCTTCCTCCTACCACTTGTGTATTTTTCAGGGTTGTTTTTCTTTTTTGTTTCCTTGTCAGTAAAATGATGGTACAGTCTCTCAGTCTGTTCAAGCTGTTTAAAAAAAATATCTTACACTGGGTAATTCAGAAAAGACAGAAGTTTATTGCTCACACAGTTCTGGAGACTGCGAAGTCCAAGAGCAAGGCACCAGCAGGTTTGCTGTCTCATGAGGGCCTCTATCTTCTCCATGTCAGCCTTTGTGTGTCCTCACATATTGTAAGGGTAAAGAAGGCTCCCACAAGCCTCTTTTATAAGGAAGGCAACTAGTACCGTTCATGAGGGCAGAGCCTCATTACCTAATCACCTCCCAAAGGCCCTACCTATAATACCTTCACTGTGGGGACTAACTTGCATCATAAAACTTGTGGGAGTACACCAACATTGAAATCACTGTAGAGACCAATAAGCATTATGTTTTTGGACTGCCTTGGCATTCAGCAACCGGAATAAATCCTGAAAGATAGTAAACTTTCCTGTAAAGTTACCTATGATTGTTTTTGTAACATTTTGCTGCATGTCTCTGGTCAAATATCATCTCTTTCCTTGACGTGTTCTGTGCCGGTCAAGTCTGTATTAGTCTCCTTTTTCTAATTCCCTTTAGCCGAAACATCCATAACACACAACACACCTCTTACAACACATTGTCCACTTTGCCAATAGTTTGCATCTAAACTTTGTCACTTTCATCTGTGCTAATATCTCTGTATTAATGAACATGTTAAGTCTGATCCTAATTCTTCATGTATGCATCTCATCTCCTAAGTTTACTACAAGTTTCCCTCTGGGCCACTGTTATGGTTGGGATATTTGTCTCCTCCAATACTCATGTTGGAATTTAGCCCCGAAAGGTGCAGTATTAGGGGAATATTTAAGTTCTGTTGGATCATGAGGCCCAGCCCTCATGAGTGGGTCGATCCCCTCATGAAAGGGGAACTGGTGGCTTCATATAAAGTAAAAGAGAGCCTGCACTAGCACATGGTATGCTCAGTCCCCTCCATGTGTTGTACTCTGTGCCGCCTTCGAAATCTGCTGAGAGTACTGAACAGGCAAGAACTCTCAGCAGATGCAGCCCCTTAACCTTGGACTTCCGAATCTCCACTTTTGCAAGAAAGAAATTTATTTTCTTTGTACATTACCCAGTTTCAGGGGCTCTGTTATAAGCAACAGAAAAGAGACTCATACTGGCTCCTCAGCAGCTTATTCCTTTCTGATATAATTTAGCTCAATGCAGAGCAGTTTTCCTCTGGCGATTCCATACGTACATAAGCAGGTACTGAAATAGAAGCTTTCATTGGGCCATCACAAGAAATATCTTCCCCTGAGGAATTCACAAGGAACCTGTTCACTCATTGGTTTTGCTAGATCATGCAGAATGTGGGTGGGCCTTTGTAGCACAGTTAGTCCTCCTGTGCCCAAGTGAATAGGGTGTGTGGAGTGGCTTATGTCTCCCTCCCCCATGTTTCTTGCAGTCAGTGAGCTCCCAAGTTACTGGAGAGTTTTTCTACGCTCACAAGCCCAAAAGCTGCTGCCACCGGTGAACTGGGAGCTTCACGAGGGTAAAGGACCAAGCGTCTGGTGCCTTCAGGTCACTTCCCCTCAACACAGACCTGAGCCGAGACAGCAGGTGCCATATTGCTTTTCCACTCACCATACACCTTAATCCTTCCCTGGGGGCCTCAGCCCCTCAGTTTTTATATCACTGGTACTCACATAAAAATTTCCCAACTCCAACTCAGCTTGCAGAAACCGAAGGATACCTGCATGACTCCATAATCTGGACATTCTAGGTGGGCTGCCTTTAGGAGAGAGGGACAGAAATGACCAAAGTGCTAGCTTTCTTCTACTCAGACTATTTTCCTCCCCTTCCACTGCCCCAGTAGATGCTGCTGAGTGACAAGTGAAGCAGGAATCACTGGAACTGTTTCTCCTCTCTGTTGGTGCAACCACCACACCAGGCCTTCCACAGAGAGTGGGGCTCAAACCTTCCCAGACTCCCCTTCCCATCCCCTACTGTTGCAGCCCAACCAGGTTCATTGCCTGCTGCACAAGAAGAAGCCAATATACTGAGTCGCCAGGTTTTATGGCAGAGAAAGTGTCTTTATTCTAGATAGCAGTAAGTGGGGACATGGGAGAAATCTCAAATTCGCCTCCCCAAGATTTTGGAGACACGATTTTTAACAAAAGTTTGGCAGGCAAGGAATTCAGCAATTAAGTTCGTTAATTTAGGCAAATTCATAGGGATGTAGAAATCAATGTCTTGTGTTGTTTCAACCCCTGGAGTCACAGTTCCACTTGAGTCAGTTTCTTGGTATGGGCTGTGGGTCCTGGTGGGTCAGTCAATCAACTGGAATGCAGGGCCTGGAAGATATCTTAAAAACTACCTTTAGGTTTCGAAAAGGTGTTATTGTCTATGGAGAAAGTAAAGAATCTTTATGACCACCAGATGCATGGCTCCAAAGTGGCAATTAGAGAGGTGCAAACAGAGGGACAGCCACTAATTTTTATCATTATTCTTGGCGAGGCTTTTACCACAGTTCTTGGCTTGTACCCCATATTGATGGGCTTTTTCACTACCTGCAGCTACTGAGAGAGACAACAGCCACCACTCCCAGGTGTCCCCTGGGAATTGGGCTCAGACCTTCCCTGTAGAGGTCCTGCAGCAGACTGAGGGGTCCTCAGACTGTGAGCTCCCTGCCCCCTGGCCCTCCTTGGTGCCAGTTGCCCTGCAACTGCATCACTGTGGTGCATGACCTGAGGCAGAGGGACATCAAGCCTCATTGGGCTCCCTGTGGGCAGCTTGAAACCAGCAGGCTTCTCCCTGGAATAGTCAGAGATTGGTCTTTGGGGACCTGGGGACAGGCCCACAGACCAGATCCCATACCCCCAGGTCTGAATCACATTTCTCAGGGGTAAGCAGGAAAGATTTGTGATTGGGTGAGGTCACTACAGCCCTTCCCTGTGGCTTAGACTGAAAGCTGGGAGCAGACCTTTGACCCCAGCTGAAACAGGTACTTGCCAGATTTTGTGGAGCCTGCGGGCAAGCTCTCCCAACCCAGCCTCCATAGCCACTCTCCCCTACCCACTTCTGCTGTGGCAGAGAAAAAGGACTCAGCTGAAGTTCCAGGGTCCCACCTGGAAGCACCTGGGGCAATCAAGTGCTTCTCCAGAGAGACTAGGGCTGGTCACAGGATCTAAACACTACACTGCAGCTTTTTCCTTCTGGCAAGGGTCACCTACTGGCAGGGAGGTCTATTTGCACAGGCCTTTACAGCATTTACTGACTCAACACATAGCTTGCGGTTGGTTCTCACCCACAAGAACCACCCACTGTCTCAGAGATTAAACTGGGTATGCCATTATCTAATAAAAAGAAACTGAAAAAATAAGCAAAAATTGCCCCGGATGAGAAGGAATCACTGAAAGATATCCACATAAATAAGAAATCATGGTAGAAAGACAGCCCCAAAAGAATAAAATAACTCTCTACCAATTGATGTTCACATCAGTGGACATTAGATTGGATAAAGCTCCTATCTCAAGTACAGACTTTATTCCTACATGTTTGGCTCCACCTTGTTTTCTGAAGTCCGCTCTAAGTATTGGCTCATAATTTCATATACAGACAGTAGACAGATTAGATTGAACAACAAGGCCACAGCAATTCCTCCCATCCCTGGGAGGCCAGGGTCCTGCATGTGACCATGCCAATCTTCCCTCAAGAAGGTGGGGTTCATTATTTGTCCCATCATAAATTTGCTGGCCTTTGATTCTTTGAACCTATGATAACAGGAGAACATCGTGGAGAATCCTGAGCCTATTCAAGAAGTCCGAGCTCACTCATTCCTCTCTTTATACCCAGTAGAAGGCCGGGGGAGCCTTAAATCCTGGAGCCCTGAAAATCATAGATAGGCCCCCCTGAGCCAGTGTGGCAACCAGAGTTCAAGGTTAGGCCCAGACGGGTAAAATTTTTTTTCTTTTTGTTTTTTTTTTCCAAAGCACCTGCCTGGGGAAAACACTGACTTGTAACGTACTCTCACACACTGCCCAATGGCTTTTCGACCCCAGCACTCTAAGGGTCCTGCATTGCGGCAGCGGCAGTGACTCTTGAGTTTTCCAGGAGGGCAGAGAAAAACCTTGAAGCCCATGTCAATACACTCGGTCCACAGCCTCGCGCAGCAGGCGTGGTGGGTCCGGC